TGAAAGAAAGTTCCAGTCACAGAAAATCCATCCTGCCCGGGGCGGTTCAGACTCAGCCCAAATTCCTCAGACAACATGGATTAGAACTCGGCTTTTTGAGGGCATGGCTCAGTACTGGAGTGTGTGCCCAGCATGAGCAAGGTCCTGGGTTCAATCCCCAGCATGGGAAGTAAGGGTTGGATCTCCATAGTTGCTCACAGGGAGGTCCCCCACACCCTCTCAGGGCTAAAGGAGCCAGAGTCAGTTTCAGGTGGTTCCCAGGGAGTAGGGCTCTTCTCTGCCCCATTTTCTTAATGAAGGAAGGATGGTACAGGTGCTTTGCTATACATGCCGTGCTCCACGGGGTTTCTTGCATCATTTGTGATTGGCGCATGCTCTGTGAGTACCTTAGACACCCCTGTGTATCGGCCACTGCCAGCATCTGTGCCTACCAGGCATGGCTTCACTTCACTTCATGTTGTTGATCAGAAACCTTGAATACTGAGTAGTGAATCCATCAATTTTTATCTCATAGTTTCTATTTTTTTTTGTCTGTTAAAATACATTTCCTTGAGTGGATTTCTGAGCTGAGGCAAGGTTTGCACATAGTGAAATGGCACTTTCATTGTAACACTTGCTGACTTTTACGAGTGCTCGCACCCACAGTTACAATGTCTATGATTTCTGTCAACCCATGGAGTTCCTGGTGTTCCCCCGGTCAGTCACCTCCAAATGCTGCTGTGGTTTCTGTTGCTGGGTGTGGCTCCTTGTGAGTGGACGCACACGATGTCACCTCTTCTGTGCTTGCTTTCTTTCTCCGACATCATCAGAGAGACTTGGCCACACCACAGGCACCAACAGCTTACTCTTTTTTTTTTTTTAATTGAATGTACCAGAGTCTGTTTATGTGCAAGTGTACACGAGCATGTGTGTGCATCCTCCACTGATGGCATTTCGGTTGCTTCAGTTTGGACTGTCATGAAGGGCCTCCATAAACACTCAGTTCCAGTGCTCCTGGGGGTGTAGGCTTCTGCTTCTCTTGGGAACCTCTAGATTATTCTTTTGGGATTTATGATAAAGTCCTGCCCCTCATGTTTGTTTTCTGGTGCGGGGAGGGAACCCAGGGTCTTGCACACAGTACGCCCTGAGCACTCTACCACTGAGCTGCATCCCAGCTCTGCTCCCTACTGGGTCACAGAGTCATTATTCTGAGTTTTCTCCCACTGACTCTATGCTTTGCCTTCCCCATTAGACCTTGAATCTCCATATCTACTATATGGCATAAAGTGGGGTTTTAGCTTTCTTTTCTCCAAAATGTAAGACAGATTTTGCAAGTTTGTCTTTAGAAGATCCATTCTTTTCCAATTGAATTTAATTCTTTTTGTAGACCATGCACCGAGTGCCTGTACTTGGATCTGTTTCCTTAGGCAGCATTCTCCATGTCTGTGCAATTTCTTTTTGCTGCAGGCTTTCATGAGCAGCACACTGTCTTCTTAGTGTAACTGTTGCATGCTCAGTACCTGCTCCAGTGTCACTGTTAGTCATAGTCACTGTGGGAAATAGGAACCATTTGGAGGGTTCTCCAGTGGGGAGAGCTCTACACAGAACCGTGGGGTGGCTGGGATGAGGGTCTGAGAACTGACTCGGGAAGCTTGGATACCAGGAAGCTTTGTGAGTAGTTTCACATTCAAGCTTCCCCAGTGCCCTCTGCCAGGCTGCAGAGTGGACACTAGAACTTGACACAAAGATGGTTCTGTTTGTCAGAGGAGAAGCCAAAGCCTCCTGGTCCTTTGGACAGCACCTGTTTTGCCACCAGAGACCTGGCAGCAGCTGTGAGAGTCCCTCGCAGCTTGGCAGTCCTTATGCCAGGAGGGCAGGGTAGTATTGATGCTGCCCAACGGTATCCCGTTCACGTGTGCCTTCTCGCTGCTCCTCAGCATGTCGGTTGAAACTGGACCCGTGAGCCCTACCAAAAGTGCCAGTTTGAACTGTGATGGGGCAACCCTAAACATTCAGCTGAATTTGGTGGCTAAGTGTGACACCTATGCAGACAGTCTCCTCCAGCCAAGTACTTGCGCCGACCCTCTTGTGTGCTGTCCAAGTTTCAGGTTTCGTTCCTTTCTTGAGTTGTTTTTAGGTTGAGTTCTAGATGCCATACGTGATGGCAGTGAGTCTGAGGTCACCGTTTCTGGCCGCCCTTGTTGGGGTGCTGCTGGATTCTGTGAGACGACTGCCCACCAGCCTCACTGAGTACCTCGTCTCCACTGCTGATGGTCAGCACCTGGGCTCCTGCCTGGTGATGCACCCTCTGTGCAGATAAGGACCTCCCCCAGCTCTACTGCCCACAGCACTCGGTCCTTTTCTTTTTAAATGTCATTTCGCTTCAGTATTCATAAGCATGCTTGTCCTGTCCCGACCTTAGTAACTCTCCCGAAGGTGTTTCGACGGAGTTTGCTGTGTACTTGTGGCCCATGGCCTTTATCAAAACAAGAGCATTTCATGTTAGAACAAGCATGATGAGAACATTTGTGGCTAATGGGGGCTAAATATTATCAAATGGATTTTTTTAAACTATGAGATAACTTCACAATTTTTCTGTTAAATAATTTTTTTAATGTTAATTGATTTTTTGTTGGTGATGGTGACCTATCCTTGAATTTCTGGTGCACAGCCCACTTGGTTGTGATGTATATTATTTTTGCATCTTTAGATTTGGCGGACTCTTGCTTTAGCAAGGATTACTGCATCCATTTTCATGAGCAAATTGAGCTGTGATTATTTTTCTTCTCCTTGCCTCCTTTTGGAATGAGATCATACTAATCTCATGAAAGGGTCTGACAGCAGTTGACATTTTTTACTGTCTGAAGTGCAACAGAGGCTGCATTTGCCTCGTGGGCTGGATCCTTGAGAGCTCCTGAGTACACTTATGCACCACCTCCTGCAGTTGGTTTTCCTGGTGTTTGTTCCAAGCCGTGTTTATTATGATAATGTTTCGTGGTTATCCTCAGGCTGCAGCATTTGCTCTGAATTTTCTGCTTATTGAATTCCTTAGGTCCTTTCCCTTTCCCGTGGCTGGTCTTGCCAGGGCTGTAGCACCTTCTCGACCTTCCTGTCTAATAGCTGGCTCTCCACCATGTTTATTTCTACCCACAACTTGCTCCCCATCCCTTTCCAGCTTGTTGAAATGAACTCTCACTTCCTCCTGGTTGGCCCCCAGGTCTTCCTTCTGAGTCATTTAGAAACCCGCCCTCACATTTTGCCTTGGCTTTGGTTCCCGGCACTTTGAGCTCCAGGAAGTCCCTCGAGGTCCTTACCGAGGGGGTGTGCAGCATGTTGCTCATACCCAGACACGCACCTTGAGTTACAGTTTTACTCTTGGTCTTTACTTTCACTTCAAAATAGTTGGAGAAGCGGGCGCCAGTGGCTGATGTGGGAGCTGCCCACTGAGACTTCCTTTATGGCTCTATGAAGTCATAAGTTAGCACGGAAAACTTGAAAAATCAAGAAAAGCATAAAAAAAGCAGAGTGTCTGAAAAAGTTCCCATAATCCCAAAACTTTGGCCAAGATACATTTTAAAGTTTAATATCTATTTTTTTAAATGATAAAGTATTAGCTGATTAATTAATCCAGTCAAACAATTTTTACATTATCTGAGTTCCTCTTAATAAAAATTTACGCTGTGTGTGATGAGAATTCGTATTCATTAGCATATTGATCTGACATTCCAGTTAGGTCGCTCCAGTGCCAAGAACTGTCCGATCCTGCTTTTTGATTTTAAACTACAAATATTCTTTGGTAGGTAAGTCACTGGACCCTAGTAACCATGGGAGAACTAGGTCACTGAGGGTAGGCACCTCCTGCCTCATGGTCTGCCCAGTGGGACAACCATCAGTGCATGGTTGTGAATACCATGCCAGCGCCACATCAGAACACTCCTGCTGGAAGCGAGACCCTGACTTCCTCTGCATGCTGCAAATCCTGCTGTCTGCTCAGGTGCCCTGCACGTCAGTTTCCAAAACACTTCTGGAAGGTGCGCCAGTAACAGTCAGGGGTGGCGGGCGTTTCCTCAAGCTGCTCGGCACTGGGTCTCCGTGGTTGGTTTCTGAAATGTGCTCTGTATCAGCGGATGTTGGCCAGTGTTGAAGGACAGGGAACTTTGGCAAAAAAAAAAAAAAAAAAAAAAAAGGTTGTGATGGTTGGGAAAGCTGGAGAAGGCAGGGAGGGCTTTGGAGGACAGGGTTGGTCAATGTGGAGGAAAGGTCAACGTAGCCGGAAAGCAGGAACCTGCACAGAGGTGGAGGCGAGGACCGGGGCTGGGGCGTGACCCGGAGGGCCCTGGCCTTCGTACAGGGTGGGTTCTGAGGGAGAGATGCACAGTGCTCAGTCATGGTCAAATCTGGGTGCAATGACTAATAGAGTAGACTGTAAATCAGGGAGACTTAGGGGGAAAAGCATTCAAAGAAATGCTGCTTGGATGGTGGTAGAGTAGAAAGTTTGAGTAGCCAAGTCACAGGCTTTGGCCCATCACTAACCTTCGCGTTAACCATGCAAGTCACAGGATTTGTCTCACCTCAGCTTCACTCTTCAGATGACTTAGAAGTTCGCTCCCACTCAGGGGCCAGGACCCATGGGCCTTGCCCTGCAGGGCTGAGGACCAGCTGCTGGCTCTGTCTGGGCTATGGGAGAAGCCGCACCTTCCCTATGCTAGGGTCTCCATACCTTGCCAGGTGATTCACCTGAGCCCTGTGGAGACTTGGGAAATTTGCTAGCCTGGTCATGATAAACCCCAACCCTGGAGCCTATCTAAAATGTCGGACTATGGACATTGTCCCATTTGAGCTACGGCTTTGGTTCATTTCTGAACCATGTTCTGCTTTTGTGACTCCCTGTCAATGCAGAGAGAGAGAGAGAGGTGTTTGGCCAAAGGAGAAGATTTCCACAGTTAAGTAAGTTGGAGAAGGGAGTAAAGCATCTGGAGAGGGTAATGGTCTTCTTTTTCCTCCTATGTGTCTCCATCCAGCTGCCTGGGAAAGAATCCAAAGAAGAACAGGAAGGAAAACCGAGGAGTGAAAAGGAAACGGTGAGCAGAACTGTCAGGCATTTTTCCTGGGTTCACTCCCAGAGTCTCTGTCCACGGGACCCCTCAGAGCCACGGAGCTGCCGAGCCTTGAGATCACCTCTGCCCTGGGAGCAGGTTAGGTGACGCCTGTCAGCCAGAGAGGTGGAGCTAGTGCAAGTCTTGCTTCTTACTGGCTATTCGAGGAAAGAGAGGAGTCCCGGCCACGTGATGCATGCCTGTAGTCCCAGGGACCAGGAAGCTGAGGCAGGACGGTCAAAAGTTCCAGGCCAGCCTGGGCAACTTAGTGAGGTCCTGTCTCACAATAAAGTATAAAAAGGGATGTGGTTCAGAGGTAGAGTGTGCCTGGGTTCAGTCCCCAGCAACACACACACACACACACACACATGCGGGGTTGTTAGCTGGAGTAAAGGGTGCTTATTCCCCGTTGACTGTTTGCATTGGGCTTCTTTCAGCCTATTTCTCATGGAGTAGCCAGGAGAACCTTTGGAAAATATGTCTAGTAACACCCTTTCCTTGCTTAAGACCATTGGCTTCCATTGCATCCAGAGTGAAGCCCACACTCCTCACCAGGACCCCCAGCTGCGTAGGACTGGCTCCTGTCCACCTCTCTAGACTCATTCCTCAGCCTCTGCCCTGTCCACAGCCTTCGGGACTCCTGCCTCCATTTTGTGTTCTTCAGCCATCCGGCTGAGCCTCCCCTCAGGCACTGGTGCCCTGCCGCAGTCTGGCTGGGCACAATTCAGGAGCCACTTGTCAAAAGAAACGAACTTTATTTTTAGAACCACACACGCCAAACAAAACAGATCCTCAGGAAAATCCCTCAGAGCCCAACTGCCACCACCGGCTTCCCACAAGCCTCTCAACCTCCCCACTGTCCATTTTTTGGCAACGGAGCCTGATGCCTTTCTGCATGATATCGTGGATAAACACCTGGTCCTTGATCATTTTTTGGTAATGGAGTACCCTCTATGGTGGTTTGAGAATGGCATTCATTAGCCCAATGTCTCCCTCTACGGCATCGTGGGCAAATACCCGGTATTCTACTCCTTTGATACCTAGTTTTGTTAAACCCTCCTCCTATGGGGCAATTCCTTTTAAAATGTCCTGTTTGTTCACAATTGTAGCATGTTCTTGGCCTGGCATCTAAAGCCTGTTGTACTGCAGCTGCCACATGCCCCATCGTTTCTCTTTAAAGCTACTCCTCCTGCTCGGGGGAGGGTGGGGGGCTGATGGACAGGAGCGCCTCCTGGAGGTGCTCAGTCTCATGCCTCCTCTGAAGGACCTTGCCGGCTGGGGTGCGTGGGGGAGTGGCTGTGCCTCTGCACCCACAGCTTCTGGCACTTCCACAGCCCATTTCCCTCTCCTGGCCCAGGTCTCAGTTGGAACTCTGGACTTACTTTGCTTCTTGTGCTTCATCTCCCTTTGCAGACCACTTGCTTTTACAGGCACCAGCCCTATGTGTCCCACTGCCTGGATGTACCAGTTGTCCCATCCTCAGTGGAAAAAGGAAGACAAGAGTGCACAAACAGCTCGCTGGCCTGCGATATCTGGCCCTGGCTCCCGGGCTCAGAAACACCTGATGGACTTGATGACCACAGGCTTCTGTATCTCTGCCGTCAGCTTCCTTCCTCATCATATCATCCTGGGTCTTGGTCTGTCTCTCTGGGGCAGATACTTCCTCCTCCTCATGAGGGCGGGGCAGGCTGCTTGCTGGAGGGCAGCTGAGGTTGGCAGCTTGGGCCCTCTCACCGCCTCTCACTGTGACTTTCTCTGCCCAGGGTTCCATTGGTATGTGAATCCGCAGAAACTGCAGGGTGGTGGAGCCTGTCCTGTGACACATGCAAGCCTCTGGTCTCAGGCAGCAGTAATGCCGTCTGTGCAGAGTCTGAACCAGGGCTTCTCCTTCAGCCATTTAATATAGGCATCAATAAGGAATTTAAAGAAGACTTTTGTTTCATAATCAATAGAGCCAGACCTGACTCTGAGACATGGTCATGCACAAAGGCCAGCTCCCAAACACACCTGCAGTCAGTCAGTCAGTACCTGAGGCCACCTTCTGCCAGCCCTGCAGTCAGTCAGGGCTGGAGTCAGGTGTGCAGTAGATTTTATCTTCTCCTTTTTCTTGCTAAATAAGTGAAGCCTTCACCTCAGCTGATGCAGCATTCTTGATTACAATCAGAGGATACCTAAATAAGACATGGCAGGCCTCTTTAGCCTTCCTCACACTGTTGAGGTCAGGAGCCAGAGTCCAGGAATTCTGCTTGCGCTGTGCTGAGGCAGACCGGGAGCCCTGTTACTCTCTCTATCCATCACATCTGCGGCCTGTTATCCACCTGCTGGGCCAGAGACAGTATTCTTCCTGGTTAAATTTGCAAATTCGTGCTCCTGAGAGGAGTGTAAGCTATCTACGTCTTTCTGTGTAAATTTTGGCTATTATTTTTTACCAGAATATCATTAAATTAATTCATAACTTCAGTCATACTTCCAATAAGGACTGTATGAGATCTTTCAATGCCTTTGACTTTAATTTTCATTTGTGGAGCTATAATTTGATAATATTCACCTTTTATGTATATAGTTTAATAAGTTCAGAAAAACATACACAGTCCTGTCACCACCACAACTGAGATACAGTTACCTCCCTTTCTTCTCCCCTCCCACTTGCCCTCGGTCACCACTTTTGTAATTTCTGTTTCGCTCTTTGCAGGAAGTCATACATCACTGTTTTATCTTTACTGGAGTCTTTTATTTTTTCCCTAAATTGTTGCTATTCTAATTATTTTGAACCCCCAATTTTCTGTTTCTTTTCAGTCTTTCCTGTTAAGGAATGGAAAGATGAAAGAATATAAACTTAAATAATATTCTGTCTGTGCCACAAGGTCTCATTCATGTGTAAAAAGGTGGTCTCAAGAGGTGGAGCAGAGTGAGGCTAGTGAGGCTGGGCGGGGAGTGGCTGGAAGCAGGTGGCAGGACCTGGGATTGCAGTGAGGCAGGAGGGAGACCAACAGTGCCCAGAGAGAGGAGCAGGGGCAGGAGGGACATGGCGTCCGGGTCTGAAGGCTGGACGCGTGGGCAGTGGCTGCCAGATCAGGGAGTTTCCCTTTTGAGTGAAGGAGACGTGCGGGAACCACTGTGGGTTGGCCGCACTACTCTGAGTACACTAGAAGCCATCAGTCTGTGCTTGGAACAGGCGAGTGGTGATGTCTCAGTGAGGCCACTTCTAGGGCACACCAGCCTCCTCTCATCTCAGGAGTTTGCAGGCTGTGTTCCCAGCGTTCAGTGTTGGGCTACATTGCCTTTCACTTCTTCTTGGATATGAGGAGCTCTGGATCCCAAACACCACTCTTACCGTCTCCAACACACCTTTCTTCTTTGCGCCCGGCCCGTGTGGCCTGTGCTTCTGCTGCTGCATGGGTTTTCTTAGTCCTCCTGGCCACTTGTGTCAGCTGGGAGTCGAGTCACCTACACTCTCTAGGTCCTCGTGTAACGTGGTCCTGCACTACCACCGGAAGTCGGGGCCGTGAGAAGCACAGCTCAGACCCAGGCCTGTCCTTTCCCGGGTGTCTATCAGGAGCTCATGTGGCAAAAAATGTGCTGGCTGGTGGCGGGTCTGCTGGCCTCAGGGATTTTGAAAATATATTCTGCACCTTTTGTTTCAGATTATAATTTTGAAGTGTACCTGCTACAGAGACTTAGCTCATTACATATTTCAGACACTCCCTGCCCTCGTCCTCCCTACTCCTCGTTACTGACTGACACAAATGATGCACTGTCTTTTCATTTCAGTTAGTTTCATGGTTTCTTTTGCTCTGCTTCACATGGAGTCCAGGCACCTTGGTGTGAAGGGTTCAGAGCAGCTGCAGGAGCCTGTGGCTTTCCATCTGGCCTGTCTGGATCCTTATTTGAGATGACCAAGGTGGTCTGCGGAGTCGTCCTCCGGAGGACTGTTGGTAGGGTGCAGGGAGGTGGTGGAGGAGGAAATGGCTGGCCACTGCCTTCAGCTAGTTCCTCTGGGTGTCTCTGCCCCAGTGTCACAGATCAGTCTGAGTTGGTTCACTGGGGCTGTCACAGAAAGTGCCACAGACCAGGTGGCACAGGCCACAGAAAAGTGGGGTGGCATAAACAACCTCCCCATAGTCCTGGAGGCCTGAAGACTGAGATCAAGGTGTCATTAAGGCTAAATCACAGCTCACTGTCCTTGGCTTTTGGGTGGTTGCCATCTGTGTCATCTTCCTGTGTCCCAGGGTCTGCTTCTAATAGGGATACCAGGCAAATTGGAAGAGAGACCCTTCACAGGATCCTGTTTGCGCAGAATTTTTACTCTGCAAAGGCCCACAGCGTTCTGAGGCCTGTGGACAAAGGGTTCAGCCCTCATATGAAACTTGAGGGGAACGCAATTTAGTTCAAAGCACAAGCCAAGAAAATCCAAGCACATTCCTGGGAATTTGGAATTACTGCCACTGTCTGGAACTGACCCCTAGACAGAGATTGCCCTGCTGGATTTAAGTGAGAGTGGAAGCCAAAGCTAGGTGCCGACCATGCTCACCTGCATTTGGGTGGGTTTGGGATTTGTGGCCAGACCCTCAGAACTTGGAGAGCAGCAAACTGAGCTCTACCATTCCCAGCTTCTTTGCCACCTTTCCCAGAGGTTTGCATGTTGCAGACTTCAAATGTGGCTGCACAGTCATGTTCATTTCCTTTTTCTTAAAAAAAAACTCACAGGTTATATATTCTCAGAGGAATAACATGTTTGACAGTACACTTTTTCTTTTCTTTCTTGGTACCGGGGATTGAACTCAGGGGCACTTGACCACTAGCCCCATCCCCAGCCCTATTTTGTATTTTATTTAGAGACAACTCACTGAGTTGCTTAGTGACTCACCATTGCTGAAGCTGGCTTTGAACTTGCAATCCTCCTGCCTCAGCCTCCCGAGCTGCTGGGATTGCAGGTGTGCGCCACTGCACCCGGCAATACACTTTCTTTTTTGGTGATTCTCGGATCATATTTTTATATTCACAGCTGTGTGAGTATCAGGCCATTCTCCAACTCCAGGCTCGAGTGTGTGTGTGTATGTGTGTGTGTGTGTGTGTGTGTCTGAGGGTGTGGAGGGGTGTGCGCTGGGATCGGCCTCCTTTGGCCGGCTGCTCTGGAGCACTTCTTCCTTTGCCCCCCCATCTCTGCACCTCTCTTCTGTGAGCACTGGCTGCTTCTGAGGTGCAGATCAGCACAGGTGGTGCCTCGGCTGCCTCCATACTTCCCTTTAGATTTAGGGGCTGGGTGGAAAGGGAATAAAGGTGATGTGTTGGCAGCCCATCGTCCCTAGGCCTTCTCTCGGTGTCCCCGTGAGGACAACCTCCACTTCTCTCACTGCCGGCCCACACTTTCTAATGTGTGCCGCTGTAAGTCTGTGAGAACTTGTGGGCCCTCTCAGCACCTGTAGGATTTGCAGCCCCATAATGAAGAGCAGAGAGGTAAATGGCCAGTCTCCCTGGAGTTGTCCTCATTGCCCCTGCTTATGTGTGTTCTCCTTGTGTGTGGCAATGTGTGGTGTGGTGATGGTAAGTCCTGGGACTCCCAGCTGGGGCACTCTCTGGCTCCCGCCCTTTCCTGGAATCCCCCACTTTTCCGAGGGCTGGGGAGACAGGCTCCTAACTGCACTGCCCCCTTGAAGGGCGTTGGAGGATCAGAGGAGACCTGGGAGCTCCTCACTATCTCTTTCCTTGCAGGCAGGAAGTGGCCATGGTTGAAGGAGAGACTCAAGGTCAAGATAAGAATGGTAAGTCATTGCTTTCTAAGGTCTTTGATAGCAGGGAGGTAAACCTAAACATCCAGGGTATGGATGGTCCCTTGGTGTTGGAGGCAGCTGTTCAAAGTCTTGCCTTTTCAAAACCAGATCTCACTATTCTTCGAATCACAGTAATATTTGTACTTGATTTACTTTGAGCAACACTTCATAAACTTACTTGGGAGGTGATTAGCCAAAAACCTATGGATTTTAATGTATATGTTATCATTTTAAAATAGTGCCAGCTTGAATAATGTTTATATATTTGTTTTTAAATAGTGTCAACTGGTGATGAGAAGTATATTTTTCTTTTTTCTTTACTCCACCTGCCACACCATTGAGGGTAGTAATTATGTAATTATTCAAAACAAGCAATTAAGAATAACAGCATTCAGTCCCTGAGGACAGCTATGTCGTAAAGAAAACTCTAGTTTTCTTCTATTCACTCATTTTTTTTTTGAGGTATAACTGGCAAATAAAAATTGTGGGTGATGGTTTGATGTATGTGCACATTGTGATGACGCCACGTCAAGCCAGCGGGGAGGAGAAGGAACACGCCAGCCTGGTCTCCCGCAGTGTCAGCCACAAGCACTGCTGGGGCCCAGAGCTCACTCACTTGCAGCTGGAGCCTGCACTGGGGACAAGCTCTCCCCTCCTCACCTGCAGGACTCCTCCTGCGTCTTGCCTCTGGCCAAGGGGAGCTTTGCTCTTCCCACTCCCTACGCCTGGGGCACTGGGCCACCAGATACCATTGCCACCCCAAGCAGGAGTCCCCATGGTCATCGCATGGGAAGTGTCACCTGACAGTGATTTCAAGTGCAAGTGAGAGTGTGGTCATAAGGACCATGGTGCAAAAGCCATTTGTACCCATGTTTCATGTCACACCTCTGCCCAGTCCAGCTGCTGACCTCAGTCTGGATCCTGATTGCCCTGTCTCTTGCCCCTCTGCTGTGGCTCAACACCTCTCTCCTGAAGCCGCTTCCCTCTGAGGTCACACTACCTTGGGACCCTCCCCCACTGCACTGTCTTGGGTCCAATCTGAAATTGTGGTGTTCCTTAGTGGTCCATCTTTCAGTTATTTTATTCACCCCCCCTGCACACACCCCAGTGTGTGGTCCTGGGAATTGAACCCGGGGCCTCACACGCTAGGCAAAGCATCTACTGCTAAAATACACCTTGGCACCAAGTTCACACATTTTATTTTAAATATTTATTTTTTAGTTGTAGTTGGACACAATACCTTTATTTTATTTATTTATTTTTATGTGGTGCTGAGAATTGAACCCAGGGACTCACACATGCTAGGCGAGTGCCCTACCGCTGAGCCACAGCCCAGCCCCCAAGTCCACACATTGTATTGATATTTTTAATGGAACCACATTTTGCATTTTACTAAGGTAGTACCTCTCACTCTGGACCTAACTTCAGCTGGTGCATGGCTTACTAAAGGGCTCACCAGATAGTGCACTGCTTTTGTAAAGAGAGCAGACAGGCTTGATTTGATGTGTCCATCCTGAAGTAATTCAGGGGACGAAGCCCGAAGAACCTTCCAGGAGGGCAGGTCCCTGTTCTCCTTGGGCATCAGGGCTTGAAGTCAGCTAAGGAGCCTGATTCCTCTCTTCCTGGATCTGTCGCTTCTGTCCTCAGGGCTGTGGACCATCAGGATGTGGAGATGGAAAGGGCAGCCTTCCTGGAAGTCAGATTTTGACCAAAAGATGGAAACTGATGGAGCCTGTGGTGCACACCAGGGAAGCGGGGCTGGCTCCCTGCATTTGAGAGCAAGTGCATATTAGACGTTTGCATATCTTGCTGGGTCCAGGAAAGAGGCTTCATCTACACTGAGGTTTCCATCTAGTGTTTGTGAAAACTTAGACCCAACCATCTTTGCACAGGTCAACACAAGGGAAGTTAACAGGGGAGGCAACCGAAGTCATTAATCTCACATCTTTGTATAGTCACCTTCCTGATTACTGCAGGGAGGTCATCCTGCTGCAGGAGAGGCAGGGTGATGCTGCTCCCAACTGGGCACTGGTGGCTATCTTCCCTGCGATGTCCAGTCCTGGAGAAATTCACAGGGTATGTTGTTGGGCCTTTTCAACCCATATGAAACAGATCCAGGAACGACTGTATTTGTCCCACTACCCTAAGGAAGGGTTAAGGTGCAAAGCAGACCTTCAAAGCAGTTTCCTTGGCCCTTCACTCAGGCCTTGAGTCACAAATTGAAAGCCATGATAATACCATGTCCTATGTTTCCATGCTCTGGAAGAACATGGATCACAAATAGGCCATACTCTCCACTCTTTCTATAATGCCCCATGGGAACAATCGTTTAGGCTGTGAGCTCTCCGATTCAGGTAGGCCTGCTGCCCCAAGCACTCTGAACTGTAAGCTGCTTATGTCCCATTTTTTAAATGTTAAGGGTACCTGCTGAACCTCTAACCCAAACCAGGTGATAGAACTCAGCCCAGACTCTCAAATCTTTGGGAGTTTCTTCCTTTAAAGCATCCTTCACACCAGCTTCTGCAGCTTGGCTGCATTTGTGTTGAACTGCAGAAAAGATCTTTCAAGGCATACTTGGATAATTGGATTTATTTAAATCAAGTTCAGTTTGCATTTCAAGAAGCAATGCAATACTTATTAGTGTGTATTTCCTGGACTTGGAGAGAGGAAGACCTTCTTTGCCATTTCAGCAACTACATTCATACGTTCACTTTGAAATGCTCACTCTCCTGCACACTCTCTATATCCAGGTTCTGGTTGGCAGCGCCTGTGACTATGGGCCCTGAAACGGTGGGAGGACAGGGAAGGAAAGATGGCAAAGTGAGGCAGCAGGGTGAAACTGGCCCAACCCTTGATGTCTTGTGTTGCTGGCCTTCAGAGTTGGAGAGGCCACAACCCACGGACAGGGAAGCTCTGGATGCATCTCCTAGGGAACCCTTAGGCGGTGGGGCAGCCCAGTCAGCCTGTTTTCTGGGCAAGTGGGATGTCGGGGGCCAGATCCCTCCCTCCACTCCTGAGGCTTCTCTGTCTCTCCCGGGTCTGGGGATGAAACCCAGGGCCAGATGTATGCTAGGCAAGTGCCCCCACCACTAAGCTACACCTGCAGCCCTCCTGGGTTTTTATGTGGGCTCTTAGGCTGGATCTAGGAATCAAATTAATATGAAGTCGACACAAGAGACTAGCATAGAAGTTTCACAAATTTTACACGTAGAGACCTTCACCAAAAAGTGGAGTTGAAGAATAACCAAAGCAAGATGGTTTTGTGCTTTTTAGACAAATAGCAATGCATTTGTGGAGGAGCAACAAGACAGATGGAGCTCTGGACTGTGGTAGCACATTCTAGGGATGTTACCTGGATGCATGGATGGAGGGTGAATGGAACAGGGCCTCTGTGAGCATGTTATTCACCTTCAGTGTGGCCCCATTACCAGGCTCTGGTCATTTTGGCTCTTGTCCCACCTTAGCACAAGGATGATACGCTCTTCAAAAGAATCTGTCAGGCTTGCTGCAGAGGGAAAGTCAGGCCAAACAGCCCTTTCCACAGGTATCACTCCTAGTGAATTTAGCTTAAAATAACCAATTTATCATTTTTGCATATTTTGAGATGGTACATCCTTAACTCCTTCAAGACCAACTTTGTGGCCTTTGAATATGAAAGTTATACAATTGTTCCTCAATATTGTAAGAATTTCAGCACCAACAGCAACACTTCACCCAATAGTATGATTTCTTCATGCTGTTCAGACTTGTCTCTAGAACTGCACATAGGCTATGTAAATTCCTCAGCCTATGATCATAAAACAGGAGGGAACTGAAACATACTTATCTAGCTAAACAATCACATATGGCTACATTGATAAGGGTACATGATTAAATGAACGTATGTAGGTAACGTTCAAATTGATTTGAAATCAATGCATTGGACATGACTTTTTATTTGTGAAGAACAGTTAGCTATTAGAAATTCTTAGCTTATCAGTATGGAGAATCCTTGGAAAACTGGGAATGGAGCCACCATTTGACCCAGCTATCCCACTCCTCGATCTATACCCAAAGGACTTAAAAACAGCATACTATAGGGACACAGCCACATCAATGTTTACAGCAGCACAATTCACAATAGCTAAACTGTGGAACCAACCTAGACGGCCTTCACTAGATGAATGGACAAAGAAAATGTGGTATAGATACACAATGGAATATTACTCAGCTTTAAAAGATAATAAAATCATGGCATTTGCAGGTAAATGGCATTTGCAACTAAGAGAAATTAGTCAATCCCCAAAAAACAAATGCTGAATGATTTCTCTGATTTAAGGATGCTGATTCATAATATGCTGCAAAGGGTTGGGGATGGGAGAATTAAATGAACTCTAGATAGGGCAAAGGGGAAAAGGGGAGGGGAGGGGACATAGGGGTAGGAAAGACGGTGGAATGCGATGATCATCATTACCCTAAGTACCTGTAAGAAGACACAAAGGACGTGACTCTACTTTATGTACAACCAGATATATGAAAACTTGTACTGTATATGTATAATATGAATTATAATGCATTCTGTTGTCATATATAAAAAATTAAAACAAAAAAATTTAAAAAGAAATTCTTAGCTTATTTTGTTCAACAGAGTCTATTCAATTTGCTTTGTATGCCCAGTAATTGGTAAGATTAGCTGTCAAGTGTATTAGATCGTAGGTTTCAGAATCAGTCACTTTTATTCTTAAGAATTGGGATGGTTGCTTTATTCAGTATTTGTTGAATTCCCTAGTTGGAGCTTGTGTATTTAAAAAAAATGGGTAGTAGTGGATGCCAAGTTACTACAAGTTGAATTCAATTTCCTTGTATACAAATTACTTCAGGTTCACAGACAGAATCAACCTGAAGGGTATATTTGTATTTAATTTGGAATAGTTATTCTTGCTATTGTGTATCTATCTATCTCTTACATGACTTTTCCTCTTTAAGAATCATGCTTGTCCTGTGGTACTCTTATAGAGTTTATGTCTTACATTGACAGCCTCATGGCTTCTTCTTTATGCTCTGTACTTCATTGCCTTGGTGTTTGTGGACTTTATATTACCAGTGTCCATCTCAGTCAGCAGACTTGGTGTGCGCCAGTTGCATAGAATGCAGGATGGCCTGCCTCTCCATCTTGCTGTTCAGGGGAAGCCTGGGCTTGCAGGGGAGTCAGAAGTGTGGGCACCAGGCTCTGCAGTTTCTCCACCAGCTCTACCTTCACTTCTGCTACTGTGGTGGTGGCCCAAAAGTCTCACATTCTTTTCCTTTTGTTTTTTTATCCTCTAGGTAAAGAATTTCTATCCACTTCTAATCAGGTAATTAAAAATCATCAGGATGAACCCCAAATTAAGTTTCATTTCATTTTTCTGATAAATGTTAAAATACAGATGATCTTATTCAAGTACTTGCAATTTCTGAGTGGACTTAGATAAATCTTTTCAATTTTAAATCATTTAATTGGTAATTTTAATGGACAAATGGAAGGAAATAAAAACTTAAAAATTTTAACTGATTTAGAAGATTAGAAAGTTATTGTTATAGTCCAATATTCTCTGAGACTTAATGTTTTAATTTTCAAAGCTCTTAAAACAGGTGGAATCAGAGAGACTTGCACTTACGATCTGGACACCATAGACCGTTTTCCGTGTAGTGTCCACATCTCTGCCTATCTCTGTACCCAGGAATTAGCATTCATGCTTGTGAACATGATAGAAACCAATAATGTGGACAAAGTTTTTCCTTTTAAAACTACATCACAAGGATCTCATTGGTTTGATTTGTATATATTAACGTCTGATTTTTTTTTTCTTTTCTTTACTATCCATGCAATTGAAAATATGTTGAAATTCTAATTTTATAATTAGAATTTTCTCTTATAAAAAAACCTCGGGTTAATGATCTGCTCATGGCATCTCAATGTGTGACCGCGAGGGTAATGTCCTTCCCTCCTCCATCACTGGAGAGGGGCAGGCGCAGACCCGGCAGTGCCTTGGGGCACGGTGCCTGCTAGGGCAGGTCCCCGATGCCCCTGGAAGCGGGCCTGGGGGTCCCGGGGTGAGAACCCTGGGGCGACAGTGCGTGCGTGACCCAGGCCTGTGGTTTCCCGGTGCAGGAACCCGGCTCCGAGGAGGTGTGCTACACCGTCATCAGCCATCCGCCCCTGCGCTGGCCCTCGCTGAGCTCCAACGACGACGGCTACGAGAACGTCGACCGCGCCTCGCGGCGCCCGGGGCGGTCCAGGGGCTCCCAGGAAACGGAGTACGCGCTGCTGAGGACCTCCACTGCCAGCCCCATGGCCAGCACCCTGGAGCACGACTACGAGCTCGTGCTTCCGTGCTAGAGCCCGCTGCCGCCCCCAGCGAGGCCCGCGGGGCCAGGTCCGCTGCGGGTCTCTGCGCTGCCCGGGCGGCTTGTGGGCGGCGCCCCTGTGACTTGGGTGGGGTCACCTGGTCGCAGCGGCGCGGAGCGTGCACACTCTGCCTGCCAAGCCGGAGGTCGCCGAGGGTGGTACCTCCAGCACCGCGGTGCGCCGCGCAGGTCCTCGCAGCTCAGGTCCTGTCATTTCTCCAGTTGCTGGCGCGGCACCTCCACTTGTACCTGCTCATTTGGACCTGTCGTCTGCTTAATAAACCCTCAGACCCTAGACCGAGGGCGGACTCTGCCGACCTGACACTGACTGACCCTGCTTTTGTCTTCTCCGGTCTTTCTCAGAGGAGGGACGCAAGTGTCCCAGAAAGAAAGGACAAAGGATTCGGACGTGGTTGCTCGTCAGTCCAACCGTAAAGATGAGGATTCTTTTCAAAGATTAGTAAAAAATGAAAACAAACAAAAACTTCACCGAAAGTCCCTGTGCTTATTTATGGCTTTGCTCGCAGCTCACTGCGACACAAGGCTGGTTTTAACGCCTGCATTCCCGGTGAACCTCAGGAGTGAGCCTCTGATGACCGCCCTTCCTGAGAAGCTGCAGGCCAGAGCCCACAGTGTCTCCCATAGCCACAGGGTCCCCCCTTCCCACCCCATGAGCACTCACGCAGGACTCCAACCAAGCTCTGCCTGTCCTACTTGTTGCATGCAGATTTTGACTAGTTTTGTGCTTCTTGGTGGTGATGTCGTTGTCTGAAAGAACTTAATGGAAATCGAGTAACTCCAGCACCGCCATCCTGTTGGTCTAGTAAAAATCAGACCACTTTATGCAAACTGACAAAGTTATTTACTCCCTGTATGTCTCTGTCCTTATTCCTAGTGTATAATAAGCCTGGCGTTGAAGGTGAGATTGAGGGGCTGTGGTAGGGCTTGGTGGGCAGCTGGGGACTGGAAGGAGGGTGACCTCAGAGTTGGGGACAGGGAAGCCCAGGAAGTCGTGTGCTAAGTCCTTGGTCATGCTAAGTCTTACCTGTTCATCTGTTAGTGGACCTTTTGACAAGCAGGGTTTATAATTTTGATGAGGTTAGAATTATGAATCATTTTAATATTTTGCTTTCTGTGTCCTAACTGACCATTTTAGGCTCCCAAGTTATGAGCATGTTCTCCTGTGATCTTGTGTTAGGCTTTGTGGTTTGAGCTTTTCCAATTAGAATTCTGATGAATCTCAGATCAATTCTGTTCACAGTGTAGTGTCATGAAATTATATTCTCAGATTACATTGAAATGTAACCATCTGTTTTAATATTCTCTTCTCTGCATTAGATCCACTGTAGACTGTTAAACAGATGATTGCTCACTGTTTGTGGTTATATTGTCACCAAAAAATGTTCCTGCAGAGGAGACCTCAGCTCAGGACCAGGGAGGCTCTCCATCCATCTGATTCAGAAGGATTTCAGCACGTGTTAGTCAGAGACAGACTTATTTGGGAAAGTGGATACACATTCAAGGGGGAAATTTGGCCCATCTGGAGAGTGGGTCCCAGGATTCTTCTTCAAAGGAACCTGGATGAGTTGTGTGGGAAGGACATCAGTCTGGTGACCACAGATGGTTTATGATGGTCTGGTGTTCTCAGGATCCTCAGACTGATGTGTTCTCTATTACTGTTTGGTAGATAATGCTGGAAAATCCCCTAACTTATAGTTTTATAATTTTCTTAAAATACATTGTTAAGGGGCAGACAGATGTGACTGGCGGAAACATGAGGTTAAGGGAATAATTCTACAAAATGGGCCTACTGTGCTGACCCCTGAATACTTTTACTTTCAAAAAACAATTTCCCTGCAGTTCTGTCTGGCCTAAGTGGACAGGATATGTCACATTCCTGTTATCTGCAGGGGAAATGCAGGCCTTGAAATGCTGATAAGAACAACACAGTCACCCTGAAGGGGGAGACTTTTGTGACCCTTACACAGAACCAGTCAGCATGGGCCAAGGTGACCTAGAGTAGTCATGGCAGTGGGGACTTGAAAGTCTGATGTCATCCTGCTGTCAGTCAAAAGTCGGGAGTTTTCTGGATTCTCTGGAAAGTTCCCTGGGAATCCTCCAACAAAACTGGAGGGAAGCAGAGGCACACTGTCCCTCTTCTGTCTGAGAGGACCCTCTCTCTCTGCCCCCTGACAGTTCCTTTTCCCATCCCTTGTAATGAACTCATGCCTGCTACTCTGAGTGCCGGGTCTGAGATTGACTTAATCACAAGAGTCGAGGTTTGAAGGGAATCTTTGCGCTGCCTGGGTTTCCCAGAGCTTCACCCTGTAGCTGATTGAGTTACTGGCCACTTGGGTTCAACTCCATCTCAGGACTCCTCTCCTCCCAGAAGGTCAGTGGTGGGGTGGGGCTGGAGAGTCCTTTCATCCCAGAACTTCTAGGGGACCCTGCCATCCTCTAGCTGGCCCTAAAGCAGGTGGGCCAGAGGGGCATTCTTAGGGGTAACCCAAAGCAGTTCTCCTAGGAAATTCTGTGGTTTTAAAAGCAGACTGTGCTTGGAATTTGGGGAAAATTTATATACTTTTTATTTTACAAAATATAAATATTTCCATTAAATGTATTTGTGACAAGTAAGCATTGCAGCCAGCCAAAATACTCTTCCTTCCCATTTTTTTGTCAATTGTGTTAACTCTAAATTTCCACAAGAAAGATTACAACTTTTTTCATATTTGCATATTCTGCTCCAAGAAACTCAAGATTGATTTGTAGAACTAGTGCCAAGCTCAGGCTGCACCTCTCCTTGATCAGGACTTTCTTGCTGGCCAAATTGTACTCAGCCCCTTTGAACTCTTTCCCAAAGGGACTGACACTCAGCTTCCATTACAGTCTCTGTGTTGTCCAAGTTTAGCAAGTAACCTGCTGTAGGTGACCAGGGACACCCTCAGGGCAAGGCACTGTTTGCATCAGGTTCATCATCCTCTACCCCTGGGGGAGGCCTGGCCGCTGCCCTAGCCTGCCTTCAGCAAGAATCCTGTGGAACTGACTTAGTCGGTGTATCTTGGTGTTTCTTCCTAGAAACGCTCCACACTGACCATCCTGCTCCTCTTCTCTAAATTCTCCAGTCCGATTTATATCTGGATTTGAGCCCAGTCTCTCTCCCCTGCTGCAAAACCCCATTACAACAGACAGATTCACATGAGGGAAACAAATGGAGTTCATTACACTGAGTTTTACAATCCATGGAAGAGATCAGGGGATCAGTAATCCTCAGACAGGCAACCCAGACCTCCAGTGTCCCTGGCACCTTCAATAAGATTAGTGAATTGTTAAAGTGACAAGGAAAAGGGAGAAGACTTCAGGTCTCCAGGAACAGCAGGCTGTGGGAAGGCAAATAGCTGGCAGATAAGGGAGAGTCGGGCATCTCCTTCTATAGATTCCTCCTGTACCACCTCCAGGGGGAAGGTGTCATTATTGGTTGGGGCAGGAGGACCCTCACAGCTGGGGCTGTGTCCTGCCCCAGGCAAAGGGGACTCAGAGGCCCTTCCTGCACCAGCTCCTCCCATGGCACTCAGCTTAAAACACTGATGTTGAAGAGACATGCACTGCTGATCCACTATGTCAATCCAGTTCTTCTTAAGAGTACATTTCAATTTTGTGCAATCAATCCTAACATTTTTTGATTTACATAAGTGATGCTTGCTAGTGACCTGAAATTTCAGTGTATCAATACATGGTTGTCGATTTGATCTTTAAATCAATAAAAGCTGTCCTATTTTGCCAATTTGGTGTTTTTATCTTGAAATTGTGTTGAATTTTTCTAGTTCAATTCTTTCCTACTCTTTTCCCTCTAGTTCATTCCCATGTCTGCTTCTTGAACGCAGGTGTTTTCAAGCCCGTCCATGACGTTCCTCTGTGGATTAAACACCCATTCTGTGAGAGGCGATGTACTTACAGATCTCAGGTTTATAAGCACCCATTGTGCGCCTACCCTGACATTCTTCATCTTATTTTTTAACTTTATTTTAACTTTTTAAATTTAAGGTGTCTTTGTATTTCTTCTGTCTTTTCCTTCATAAACCATTTTATTTAACCTTTTAAGTATCCAGTATTTGAGAAGTAATGTGGACTTGCTATCAGTTCAGAATTTTAAAAAAATTGTAACTAAAATAAATAGTTCAGAATTATCATCATTTAGAAATTAAAAATCATATTTTGAAAAGTAAAATGGTTAGTGCTGTTTAATTTTCTTTTCCCACACTATCCATGATTTGATGAAAGAATGTTAGACATTGGATATGCTATTATTGTTAATTACTTTATAACATATAGCTTTTTAATTTTTACCTACTTGTGGGGTTCCTTTTGATGAATTCACAAGTGCATGACATAATGTGCTCCATTTCAGTCCCCGCACTACCTCATTTCTTCCCCTCCCTCTGTCGGTCTTCCTTCTGTCAATTTATTTTTAATTGGTGCACTGTATTATCCACAAAAGGGAAACTCACTGTGATGTAGTCACACATGCACCAGGCACAACTGAGTCAATTTCGTCTCCTTTCCCATCTCTCCTCCCTCCCCCTTCCCCAGGGTCCCCTTCATTACTGGTCTCCCTTTTGTGGGGGGTAGTAGGGATTGAACTCAGGGTCATTCAAGACCACTGAGCACATCCCCAGCCCTATTTTGTGGGAAGCCATCCTGACACATGACTGGGCGGCTCCCGTTAAGGGTCTGAGGCTTCTGGCTGTGTCGGAATTTTCCCGGCCCTTTCCTGATGAGAGAACCCATCCGTGTGGGGGTGTGACTGACCACTGACCCCGGGGGCCCAATCACTGACCCTGACCTTGGAGTGCAGTCCCCCCTCAACCTTCATTGGATGGAATTATCCCCTGAATTTCTTGTTCCCCAATAAAAGGCTACTCCCTGGCGTGTTCACTCTCTCTCTCTCCTGCTAGCCCTGAGCAATCCTTGCTGCCCTGCTGGGCGGTTAGAGGTTGGAGCCAGAGAGGGGAGCCGTCTCGGACCTGGCAATAGAAATAAGGTAACTGAGTCTGTGTGTTTTATTTCGATCTCTTCTAACTAACTTTATGCCAAGAACCTCATTAATGAAACCATTGCGCAGGCCGCATGGTGGACTATTTTGTATTTTATTTAGAGACAGGGTTTCACTGAGTTGCTTAGTGCCTCGCCCATTGCAGAGGCTGGCTTTGAACCAGTGATCCTTCTGCTTCAGCCTCTGGCACCACTGGGATTACAGGTGTGTGTCACCACGCCTGGCAACATCATGCATTTTTAAGGAACATTCTGGTGGTCAGGAGGACCCGCAGGCATGCCCACCACTCCACCTGCTGCCCGCCAGCACCTGCAACTCACCCTGTTCCTGCCTGCTTCAGGAAGTTTCCCTGCCACCTGCCTTCCCCGCCACCCTCAACACCTCTCTTGTGCCTCAGGGAAACTGCTCCAGGGCTTCTCCCACACCTTTGTCAATCAACACAAAAAGATGCTGTGCTGTTTGTTCTAATCTAAAGGGGGAGGGGCTGGGGTGTAGCTCAGTGATAGAGCTCTTGCCTAAACCAGTACTGCAAGAAGTGAGTGAATAAGTAAAAATAAGAAAGTCCTCTGGAGACCTCCTGCTGATTGACTTCTTCTCCCACCAGCTCCTGAGTCACTCTGGATCCTCCCTCTGGACCCCTGTCCCCATAGCCATCTAGTGGCAGCAGTGCTGCAGAGGCCACAGCTCTTCCCCTGGACCCTCTTTGCCCAGAGCCGGTGCCAGCTTGCCTTCAGCTGGAGCAGATGTGTGGCTGAGGATTCTAGTTTCATTGCTGCCCTGGGGCTCACCTCAACCTTATCTGGATTTTAAGTCCATTAATATAGAATTGTACACATTCTAGATTCTAGAATTGTACACATTCTATGCCATTTAATTGTTGATTAAAGTTGCTAACCGAAAACAAATAATAACATTAAAAATGCTGGCCCTCCTTTCCTTTTGGCAAGCTAGGCAAGCGCTCTACCACAGGGCCATTGCCTCTAAAAATACTAGCACTTGTAAAAACACGAGGGATTTATTTATGACAGCTGTATGATCAAAATGCCACAGATTTGAAATTAAAGGTGAAACTAACTCTAAAGGAGCTCCAGATTGGGGGGTGGGAGGGGAATGCACATGTCCATGGATTTGGAGGATAAGAAGCAGGTGCTCGCCCAAGGCTTGGATGGAGCCCGTCATTGTGTAGATTCATCTGCCGGCAGATAAGTACTGTCAGGGGTCAGAGCAAGCCAAGTCCAAGGAGACAGCACATCAGAGCACTGGTGACTGGAGGCTGAGCAGCCTCTCCAAGGACATTGTATGAGTGTGCCCAGGAACTCTAGACCTTCTAAAGGATAGTCCTCTCACCCGGAGGTGAATTGCAGGCACATCCCCTGCATCTTCTCATTTGATTTTTGGCTAAAAGTTACATGTAATACTGGTGGAGATTATTTTTCCCTTACCCATCTCAGTGTGTGGTAAAGTTTAATTTGCCTTAGTTCAGTTGAATATCATCTTCCTTTTGGACGTGTGGGGAACCATGTAGAACCCCAGAGTTTGGTATGGAGATTCTTTTAAGCTGAAGAAAGAAGCCTTCTCAGAGTTCTTTGCCTGAAGAAAAGCAGCAAATTCTGGGAAAGGAGGGGCCATCAACTCCATCCCCAGGGCAGGCTGCTCCTAGGGGGGGATCCAGATAAGACCCCCCTAAATACCTGGGGGGGTCGTGGCCAGGAAGCAGGGAGACCCCCACACCTACTCCAGCAAGTGTCACCACCCCTTTACTGTTTCCTCTGTTCTTCTGAAGTCCCCCAAACTTTCCTTAACAAAGGGCCTTAAGCTCCTGCCCACTTCCCTGCTGTGAGGCCTCCAACCAGCCCTCAGTACCAGTAAACCCTGGCTCTCCCTTGGTCTCTCTTTTTAAATTAACTTTGTTTTAGCTGATAGGTAAAACATAAGCATTGCACATGCCGAGGGGGTCGATGCTTCCTACATGTATGCCTTGTTTAGACCAGCTTACCTGTCTGTCTCCCCACACACCTGCGGATTCTTTGTGGTAAAACCTTTTGAAGTCCTTTCTTCCAGCTTTTTGAGATGCCCAGTGTTCTACTGACATCTACAGTCACCCTGGACTCCTAGTTTCTCCAGCTGCAGCTTAACCACCTTCCCCCTGTCCCCGTCCAGCGCACCCTCTCTCCCCAGCCTCTGCATCCTCAACTCTTGCATAGTCAGTGCTCCTAGACAGCACAGGTGAGTGATGGACAGCTGTAGAAATGCTCTTGGTAGATCTTTCTATCCTCAAACCTGTCTCTACGTCCATGAACTACACTTTGACAGCGACAAGCCTTAGAGGAGAGCTGTCTCTGGGAGGCAGCGGCCACCCAGGGAGTAACTCTGCAGGTGGTCAGGGTTTAGGCCTCCAGCTGGGCGGCCCCTCTCCAGCCAGCTGCTCTGCTTCAGGCCCCTCCGAGCACATTATTTTATTGAGCGTAAACCAAGTGTCTGGACCTACATCAGCCCTCGGGTAAGACATTTTCCATACTGGAGAGGGTTATTGGAACAATCAGGAGGGGACCTGAGGAGGACTGCTTTAGGATGTTTCCCTGAGGTTCAGAGCGCATGCAGGGTTCCTTCCCAGCACAGCCATGCCAGGTCCCATCTGGAGTCCAATCTGCATGCTGAAAAATACCAGTAGTGTCGGGCTAAATAATAAGACCAGAGCGTCACGCCTGACTTGCAAGCTCTCTTTCCCTGGGGTCCTGGCTGACGGAGCCCCTGAACTGGGTTCTAACTGCTCCCTTGGGATCCCATGCGCCAGTGACCTTCAACCCGGGCACCCTCCTTATTTCTCTTGGTGACTTCCCCACTCTCTCCTTATTTTAGAGGAAAAGAAGGTCTGTACTTTGTAGAGGCTCACACAGTGGGTGTCTCCTGTGCCTGCTCGCCTGCCCCAGGTGAGGGCTCAGCCCTTGGACCAGTGTCACCCAGTTTCTCTCAGTGACAGCCAGTCCTTAAGCCTCCTGCAAAGCGTTCCTCTGAGGGGAAGGCAACCACTGTTCATGTCTCATTTATAATAAATACATGCTTTTCAATTAAGTGGTCTGTCATTCAAGAAAAATAAGTATGAGTGCTGACTGACTGACTGTGGGGAGTTCACAGCTGTCACTCTGTCCCCTGTGGTGGAGAGTGCAGAGCATGCTGGATGCAGCAGTGAACAGAGGCCCGGTGGGGGTTATTTCTCTGGTCCCCTCAAGAAATGGTGGTCATTGATTTAGACTGTGAAAGTGGGTGGGTAAATCATAGACCTTGGGATGCTAAAGATCTTCATGTGATGGCTGAAGCACAGGGACAGTGACTGTAGCTCCCAGTCTCGCTCCGGGTTCTTCTTAGCATGTGGTCACCATCCCAGGTGGGTCAGAATGGGTCGATTGGAGCATTGCGAAGGCTGCTCCTGTCAGCCTGCTGCAGAGGCAGAGTGGAACCTGCTCTCCTGCTCCCGCCAGGCGACATTCGCCAAGCAGGTTGAGGTGAAGAAGCTGGGGACAGCTGGCTTCCTGGGACGTCCACAGAGGTGCTTGCTTGGTCTGCGCAGCATGGAGAGGCAACACACAGCAACAAGCTGGATTCCGTGTGGTCTTCCCTGGCCTCCCTCACAGCCACGTGTCCCCCTATGATCAAGCTCTGGCACCCTCAAGTCCGTCCATGCTCAGGGGTGCCCCTGCCTGAATGCTCAATGCTCTGGCTGAAGCCCATCC